CAAGATAGACACGCTGTCATGCGACTGACAGATGGCAGGGAGATGGTCAGTTCGGAGTTGATGCTGTATGCTGTGAATGCCGTGATTCTTGCCGTGGTCCTATTCCACCCACTTGATGCAGATGGACAGGCAGTATACTGCTGGGAAGTGTAGTGGCGGCTGAGCCACACTGGGTAGTAAATGTGTTCAATACCAAGCTGGACAGGCTCTACTACGCCGAATTACACGCATGCAACGCGTGTTCGTGAGGCAAATGCTTTTCTACCCAAGGTTTTCACGATACCCAAACTGGGCTGGGAGTGGCTGGGCTATCTTGCATTTCGCCCACAAATTCGTCACCGTCATGCTGGCTTCTGTTCCCCAGGTATATGGGAGCAGGTGTGTCGCTACTGCGTGGTCGCATGCTATTCATCAACCATAGTGATCTGGCTCCACTCTAACCCGACTCACCGCTTCAACCTCTGTCTCCCAACCGAGCAACGTGACCCAACTACGAGGCCAGCAGACCCTCTAGTTCCGGCCAGCCTTCCACAAGCACCAAGATTGTCGGAATACATATCGCCCACTGCTGCCGCAAACTCGAGGGCCTGTAGTGCAGACCGTGTCAAGTTGACCGCTGCGCCCACCTCGATCGTTCGTCCACTCTCATCCCAACACAACTCTCCAACCCGCATCCATCTAAAACATACTCGACCTCCTTCGAAACGCGATTCGCATCACGGCTCTATTGGTTGTCAATTTCTCACGCCTAGAGGGCCCTGCGCTGCGTACAAACCATTGGCTTGCACTTGAAACAGCCTATTCCTGGGGTCCTGCACCTCACCACTCGCAATCTTCCAGGCATCCCAAACGAGCCAAACAGCCGCTGGCCTGAGTCCGGCGTGGCGCGCTACGTAGCTGTTTCCTGCCCGTAAGCCGCATCCATTGGGTCCCACACGCAGCCGCCGAACCACCACCCCCAAAGGATTCGACCCTCGACTTAGCATCGCATCTCTACCCGCTCAAGGGGTGTGCGTTCTTAAGTATCACGCTTTCTGCCGTCGATACTTCTTCCTCACAGTCAGTCACCGGCTTCACTTCTTCATCTCCCCTTCTTTCCTCCCTGCCATCCTAGCGGTGCAGGTGCCTTCTCCACACTCCGGTAGTGATTCGCGCTCCACCATCCGACGCTCCCAATTTCCAGACGGCAGTGCCATCGACCATCCCTTCTTTAAACATACAAAAAAATATTTCGACTGGACTCGGAATCATCCCATAATAATTGTTGCCTTGCGAATTCTGCCCTCTCAACCTCGTCGTCAGCCACGCAGCCTCGGACACCCGCTTACCATCGTTCAGACCGGAATTGCGACTTCGCCTCACAGGGCATACAGCAACAACAGCAACAACTACATCTCGACGTTCACTTAAGACTCTATCACCACCCTCACTACACATCACCATCATCAACATGCCTTACTCACCAAACCTTGTTGCCGAGAACCAGGCTGCTCTGGACCACTTCATCCAGCTCCCTGTATCACATGACATGATCTCGTATCTTGCACAAAAGGCCACACAAGTCATTCGCTGCGAACCATCAATCAACAAGAACCTCCCACCGACACCACCAGCATCGCCTCCTCAGCATGTTGCCTCCAGTATCCGTGAGCCCGCGCTGCCATCAGTAGAAGAGTTCATCACATCCATCGTCGAGAGGTCCCACGTTCAGACTGCTACCCTTATGACTTCCCTCGTCTACCTCAGCCGGTTACGGTCGCGTCTTCCTCCCGTCGCCAAGGGCATGCGATGCACTGTCCACCGCATCTTCCTTGCCTCTCTCATCCTTGCAGCCAAGAACCTCAATGACTCCTCGCCCAAGAACAAGCACTGGGCCAGGTACAGCGCTGTCCGCGGCTACGAGAACTTTGGATTCTCCATCACAGAGGTCAACCTTATGGAGAAGCAGCTGTTGTTCCTCCTTGACTGGGATCTCCGCATCAACCCTGAGGACCTCTACTACCACCTTGAGCCATTCCTAGCGCCCATCCGTGTCTGGCAATCTCGCCAGGCCGAGAAGGCCAGGCTCGCAGAGAAAGAGAAGGAGCTTGCACGTCAACAGTACCAGCTTTCCGTCGAGAACCTCTCGCGCTCGACCAAGCCCTACGCATCAAACTCATCCCTTTCATCATATGCCTCTCGTCCCCAGAGGCATCCTGCACCACGCTACATCCCATCATCCCGCGCGGCATCGCGCACCCCATCTCTATCGCCACCCACCAGGAGCTCGTCTGTCTCGACATCGTCCGACTCGCCCGACAGCTTCCTCGACGAGCCTTCAGAGGCTATCCTCCAGCGCTACGACGCAGACATGGGCGCCAATCTTGTATATATCAATGGCCCCATCTCGTCATATGCACCAAAGCAGCAACACACCCTCCCGTTGTACGACACGCAGCCCTCAAAGAAGGCCAAGACGTCAGCGGGCGGCATCTTCAGCAGAATGTTTGGCCAGACTGGCGCTTACGCCGGCCGCCAAACTGGCTATTAATTCTATTCGCTATTTCACCGTTCTATCCACCACACTGTCGCTTACCGACCTTACGACTTTCCTAGTTTCCATGACATGATCCGATGAAAGATGCTCACTGGATGGACATCTCTTCGCCCATCTCATCAACCTTTGCATCGGCAGGCGTTTACACAATTAGCATTTGCACAGCACAGCATTGTACCGGCGTTGGATATCATCATCATCTTGAATCGCATCTATATTGCGTCTCGGCGCGACCGACTCAGAACAGTTTAGCTTAGCTAGCCTACCATTTATCCGTTCCCTGCACTTGTTTGCGGCAACGCGAGTAATGAATAAAAAATCCGTCAAAACGCATTTTTCCGTCTCTCCGAGGTACTTGGCAACGGGTGTTCGTGATAAATGACTCTTGCTTTGTTCTTGCAATTTCCGTAGATTGGGGACTGACATGCGCGCTAGGTTCGACGGGTATCTATCTAGTTAGTGCAGAAGGCTAACTTACACATTAGGTGGCGTGCGGCTCATCAAGCGACTCATCAATACGCGACTGTGGACACTGCATGAAAGAATCACGCGAGAGATATTGAAGGATGGCGATCTATCGCTGTAGTTCGTACGAAGCGATGCGAGAAGGGTTCAAGAGGGCTGTACAGAGGGCACCTCAGCAATCAACCACAGGCATAATTCACGGCATAGATCACACCGGTCACTAGTCTGCACATCTATATGGTACAGCCACGAAGCTATACAGGACCTGAGTTTCCACGTCTTGCGACGCTGTCCAGTCATCTTGCCTTGTACTACATTCTTTGACGGGCCGTCTGCGCAGCCACAATAGGCAGACTAATCTAGCGACCACACATAATCAGCTATCATGCATGCTACCTAAACATCTACTACAAGGCCACAACGCCCAATATCTGCCAACCTCAGCACTGAGGTCGACCAAGGCTGAGTCGTGCCGGTGAGAAACCGTCAACGACATCATACCTCCACTATACTTGGTGATCACAGCTAATCCCAATCACAACCGGCGGTAAGCCCGGCATGTACCAAATCCTATACCGAGGCACTCTCCGAAAGCGCACCGATGAAGAAATGAGCAAAAGGCAGATTATGATGCAAGATGCAACGGCAACACAATATCGTGTATGCAGGAGTCAAGGAGTTTGGACCGCGTAGATCAAACGCGGTTTGTGGTGGGATAAGAAGTACGCTTGCCTTTTTTGAGCATGGCAGGGTGGGAACGCTGGGTTTCAGATGTGCAGCTTGGCGCTAGAGTGTTTGGGTGTGGTTGGTCGGTTCCAGGGGCATAGTCAGCCGAGGAGGATGAAGACTAATGCTGGGATTGCTGGCTTCGTTGTTTTTTGCATGTGCGGCAGATGCGTTGGCATCAGTTTACCGTCTGTTGAGGCTGCTTGTACAATGGGGCTGGGGAAGATGGACATGGACTAAGCAACTTGGTGATGTCATCAGTCGTGAGCTTGGGCTTGGGGTCGTGGTCGGGCGAGTCTCAGTCTGCGACGCGGTGATGCTATGCACGATACTCTTTATCGGTCTGGTCAATTGAGGAAGTATGCTTCCGCTTCGCTTACTGGACAGATGGCGATGCGAATCCGATACCAAGGTACCTACCTTGCGATGCGCCAGATGAACCGTTCGCCGCGTTTTGATCGCGCACCAGATCTCGCTGCACCTAGCAACTTTCCAACTACGAGATTGCCGATGAAGTACTGTTCGTACTATCTAGAAGGATTATGCTGATCGAGCGCATCCGATAGTTGAGAATGCTTCCAAGTCGTCTCTCAATGCTCCTCTCCCAAATCAAGAAGGCGCATTATCTGCCAACCCGACAAGACCAACACATGAACTCAGCAAGGAGATGCCATACTCATCCAGTCCAATATTTGCACAATATCGATAATTCACACATGTATCCTTTCATGCAGGAGAAGTTATGCTCAAACGTACCTCATCAGGCCTTTTCACAGTGGGTCTCAAGTCTCAGGCATGAATCTCGCCGCACCTGATACAACAATTGTCAACACTTTCTTGGGGCACGGTAGGCTACCAAGCCGAACATTCAACCACCGTCTAAGATGCTCAACTCGCGATTCCATCGATTTTGCATTCTATCACTCGTTCATCCACCTTGAAGGTTTTCTTTCGTAACCGCTGGCCGGTCCCTTTTCACTCGTTTAATTTTGTAATGGTTCGACAATTCACTTTTCTACCTAGCGATCGAAGGCCGACTGGAAATGATGGCCGAACGATGCGACATAGCCACTGGGGACGCTACAATACCTTCTACGGACTTTCGTTTACGACAACCCTTTCGACAGTACTTTTGCTTTCACAACTCAACGAATGGCGTGTAACTGGAGAGCTCTTCACCCTGGCAAACAGATTTCCTGGTTCCGCAGCGCTTGTTGTACAGCTTCTCGCCGCTTTCTTCGGTCTTTTGCATCTCGCGGTCATCTGCAAACTCATGAACTATGCACTTCGACTACGTCTTGCCAACGTCAGCGTGTCTCTGGACGTATTGCGTACATGGGTGGATATGAGCATCATGAGAGTGGACTGGGACTTACCCCTGCGCTTCTTCTTTCCATCCGTCCTTGTCGTGCTACTTAGTCTTGTACCTGCGGCGCTCTGGGCTGGTTCAATGACACCATCGGTATCGCGTACCGTAGGCGGCGGCATGCTTCTTATACCCAGTTACGAAGACGTCTCGATGATCAAGGAATATCCGATGATGATTGGCAGCTCAGGACCGTCAATGCGTTCACAAAAAGGCTTCTTCACCTATTCAGTTGGTCAACAACAAAGTAGTCAGCTTCTTGCATCTGCAGCTCAAGCCTCTTCCTTTGGTATGGATTCGCATGTCCACCGCAAGCTCGACAACACACGCTTCAGCTACCGAGGCCGTTCATATGGTGTCGGCGCAGCTGTCGGATTGAAGGACCAAGCAATCACCTCGAACAGCCAGATTGCAGGGTATATCTATGAAGAGGCGGGCTATGTGGCAAACGTCACCTGCGCATACAACGCAACTTCCAACTTTACTCTTTCCGGACCAGTCAACGAATGGATATACGCAGCGTCTGGTAATCTTCCAGATAGCGAAGAGGGCCCAGAGTACTCAAACTACATCGGCCACGACGGCAAAGCCATTGTAGCAATGGGTGTGGCATATAGTGATCGCTCACCTCGTCGCTATCTCTCTATCGCAGCTGGCGAAGCGTATTCCTTTCTCAACACCACGCAATGCGAATTCGACTTCACGCCTACACTGTTCAACGTTACCGTCGATGTTGGGAACCTTAGCATCACAGTGAAGCCTATACGGACAATACCCGACTTCAATCCTCAGCGCAACATCACGCGAACTGTTGTACGGCAGTACGAGCTCATGTCCAATGATATGACAAATCTATACGTCTCTCTTCTTGGCGAAGCGTTCAACTCCAGCATCGCAGCATACAAGATGTCACGTGCGTCTGCCACCAACCAAACAATCGACGCAATTCCCCAAGAAGAAGCCACACTTGCCGGTCTCACAAACAGCATGGTCGCCATGGCCGACGACATGTTAGTAGCGTACGCATCTGCGCAACTGATGGTCGGACGCATGTTTACACAGCAGCCAGCAAAGGTCTACGTCTACGCCCTGCAATTCGGTCAACCTAGTTACATCTACGCTATCTTTTCTCTCAACCTTGTCATCATTATTGCAGTTGTGTGCGAAGCTTTTCGCACGACTGGCTGGTCTAATTTGGGCCGCTTCAATTACCTCGATCCTCGCGATCTTATCATCGCTGCATCGCGGGGTGGGGGTGATATCGCAGCTGCAGCAGACGATATTATGGAGCGGAGGGAAGGAAAGAGGATGAGACATATTTGGTTATTGAGCGACCCTGATGAGGGGAACGGGTCTCTCATTGTTAATCTGAGAGGAGATCAGAATGGGCATGTTAAGATCGAAGTGGGGGCTGGACAGTGTGAGAAGGATGCAGTGAGGGACGTCGATAGCGAATATCCGGCGGATGAGAAGACAATGTATACGGAGCCAGGAGTTGCGGCGGAGAGAGGGCCGCTGACGCCTAAGACGCCGATGAAGATGAAGGTTGGCATTTTTGGGTCCAAGTAGGAAGAGACATGGGTTTAAGACATTGGATCTCGCTAGGTTCGATCTGCAGTGCATACGGTGCGCATTGAACACTTTATCAAAGAACTGAATTAATTACAAGTATTGAGACTAGACATTTTGACACATGGCGAAGTCGTGAATCCGAGAAGTCTCACATGACTGATACTGAAACGAGACTTTAGGAACATGGTCGTCAACTCTAGATCATCGCAAAAGGATATAACGACACCCTCAGCTTCATCTTAGCTCGATAGACAGGCACCCTACACACAGCGCCTCAACGAAGATAAACAAACTACATTTTTACCAGCATATCAGTCTTTCAAAAACAAAAAAGCGCACTCGTCAGCAATGCTGCCATTCACCCCCCGCGAACCAATGCCATCAGGAGACGATATCACAAGAGCCGATGTCAACGTTCTTGAAAAGATCGACGAGCTCTATCACAGCGCCCAAAACGATCCCGAATACAAGCCGGAAAACTTCGATTGTTGGCTCGACTGTTTGGATCTGTACCAACGCCAGAAGGCGCGACACTACCTTACAGAGCTGCGGCAACACATCCAGTCGCTTGTAGGCCCCTTTTCTAACAACGTTACCTCTGCGCATCGGGAGCTAGAGCGAGCTGAAAAACGTTTGTGCGAGGAGCTCGACGACCGAGATGAGCAAAAAACACAGGAACTACCATGCGAGCAAACCCGGGAGGCACAAATCGATCCGGGGCAAGCAGCTCGGGAATTTCAAGCTTCGATCAACCCGACGCCGAATGGCGATGGAGACAGACACCTGGAACTCATAACATTCTTGGCTTTGGTCATTGTTATTGCGGTCTTGCATCCTATTGAGTTGCTACGTGCGCTAATGACCATCCTTGCGTTTCTATGCTGCTTCTCGAAGTAACGACAGTTTCTGGTTTGCTGTAGACTTTCTTTCTAGCTTGTTGTAGATTCCGAGCGTTGCTTTCAGGGTTGTTCTAGACTTGCTTTCACGGCGTTGGCGTTCTTTCTTGTCCATCCAAACATACAAACTGTACAAATCAGATATATAGACCTTTCTCATCACTAGTCAATTACTCAACCATCTCACACAGAAAATCTTCTACTCAAATCCCAACGTTCACAGTATTACGATACCTACCATGCCTACCAACGTTTCCGACAACACCCTAGTCACTGACGCCGCTCTTCCGATCAACCCCTCCAGTGCCCCAGATTCCCAGATGGCCTACAAAGAACGCTGCAAGCAGCTGAAGAGAATTATTTATCGTAAGAAGAAGAACATCGACGCAAAACATCGTGACTTCGATAAGCTCCAGGACAAGATCGTAACCGCGGAGAAGGTCAAGCCCGTCGACTCAGCAACCATAGACAAATTGACAAAAGAGCTAGTTGAGCTTCATGCGTACATCGAAGGCATGCTCGGTATACACAACTTCTTCGTTAAGGAGTACCAGACACTTATCGCTGAGAAGAGTGAGAGTGTGAAGGCAAACTTATTCAACGAGATGGGAGCAGTGATAAGCGAGGCTGAGGGTGTGGACTCTGATGATGGAGACAGCCAGGATGAGAATGATCAGGCGGTGTAAACAAGGATTGTGATTCCTGACATGTAATGGGAGATGGAGGTATACCCTGGGAGCCTACATAGTGGCCTATATTGCTGAAGTGTCTTTGAAGCGAATTTACAACAATAGCTTGATAGGTACAACAGAAACGAACCAAGCTTCTTTGTACATTTGGTCAGTGAGGTCACAATTGAAATGATATCTAGACTTTGTGGTTTGACGTAGACTTGCTTTCGAGGTGTTCACATGCTTTTTGTGGTCACAAGTATAGAGGATAGACAAACGATGCGTGATAGATATGTAGACCATCCAGTATCGATTATTCATTCACTTGTCTAGCACGAACACGCTACTTCTGAGTATCTAGTGTGCCCAAGGGTTTTCGCATTCAGCATGTCTAACAACCCCTGCGACAACAACGATCCGCTCGGTAGGTCCCTAACTCTAGGCAATCCTGGCGACACTCCAGACCCCCGTATGATCTACAACGGACGTCGTGTGGTCGTCGAAGCCTACATTGAAAACCTGAAGAACAAAATCCCAGAAATAAAGAGCACCCTTACCGAGCTGAACGACACAATCTCACAGATGGCGAGTGACCCCACCATTCCGCCAGTAGTCGTTGCGCGCTTGAGAACCGAAGTTTCTCGGCTTCTTAAACGCACCGTAACTCAGCAGGATATGCTCGAAAATCTCGAGGAGCAGTATAAGGAACTCGTGAATGAAGAAAACGAGGAGGTGAAGTAGAGGCTTCTGGTTGAGATGAGAGAATTCATGCTACGAGCACAGGCATACAATCTTTAAATGTTAGTCATCACGACGAGGAAGCAATTTAGTCCTAAGCGGAGACTATCGTGCGTAAATGCCAGTGCTTGATAGCTGAAGTCTTGGAGGTAGCAAATCTTTCAGCAGTCCGCCTGGATTCTGTGCTTAGTACTAGGATAGCGCTAGTATGTGACATTCCAATGCGTATAGCCACTTGACAAAGAGGCCCTTTCTTTGTGTATCGCAAGTCAAAAGAGCGCAAATCCTGACCGAAGCACCAGTCTTCAGCATCAGCACTCGAATAACCTAGCGAATACCTTGAGAGGCAACGTCTTGGGTACAGCTTATAATAACAAATATCTCCGTACATGTCTAGCGATCAAGGCAAGAAGATAAAGAGGCTGAGAAGCAGATGTATTGCAGGCAATAAACTATGCGAATGCTGAAGATATGAATCGCAAACACCTAAGCACATAGACACGCGCAATAGAGTATGAAACAAGAACAGACTTCGCCGTACTCGTAGTAGTAGTAGTCATCGTCGTCGTCATCATCATCATCGTCATCGTCGTCATCCTTCGCGTCGCGATGTATGCTGAGTGACTTCTAGTACTTTCCATTGTCATGATATGGCCACAGGGCGCAGTCGTCATGGTTGGTTATGAAGACGATGTTCTCATCGAATTTGGTCTTGGTAGCGAAGGCCAGAGTCGACTGAATCAAGTCGCATTTCTCGGGATAGAGGTCGCAAAGATCAGCTATACAGATTCCGTAGTTGCCGTTGCCATCCCGGAGGACCTGGATTTGTTCGCACTCGGCATTCACTCCCTCCTCTACCCAGTCCTCGTAACGTTCTCCAAATGACGTGAGAGTGGATATGAGGACGGATTTTACATCACGGCATTCTTCGAGAAGTGCAGGATTGCAAAGGGAGTACAAGCAGATCTTTCGGGATCCGGGTTCGACAAGACGGGGCTCAAATTTTTTGAGTGGAGACAGAATATCTTGGCCTTTACCCATGGGGGTGGAGCAGATGCAGGTGTCGTTCAAGTGTCCGTAGAAGTCGCAGTCAGGCTCGCACTCGCAGTCGCTCCGAGAGGCTTTTGGAGCATCGATGCCAGGATACATCGTCTTCAGCTCCTCTGTGATCTCCTCACACGGGAAGCCCATCAGTAGCGTTACATACTGAGGGTCGCAGATCTTCGGGAATATTATGCGAGCGTGAGACTCTAGTGTCGTTTCGTCGCAAGCTCCGATTCCAGGATGATATTTCCGGACCATGTCACACAGTGCTGGCTTTGTTCTGTGCTGTGGTGTGATAGTGTCTGAAGTAGACCGAGGAATTGCGGCGGCGCGGCGTCTTGCTGGATAGACAATCCTAGAAAGACACGGGCTGAGTACCAGTAGCTTCTCACATTCTGGGCAGTCGGTCTGAACAGCATATGGCGGAGTGAACAAACGCAGACTAGAAGTGGAAGACGTTGTGGAGGCGACTTTGGTTGACGAGTGGACTTTGGTAGATGAATGAACTTTGGTAGACGAAGTGTGGGCTTTTGTTGACGGCGAAGAAGATACGGAAGAACCATCGGTAGGTGTTGCGACTGAGGATTCCGCAGGAGGCTCAGAAGCAGGCGTAGCGGTATATTCACCGGTCAACGCTATCGTGTAGGTAAACTTGAGTGCTGAGCCGTCCCTCTCTTCGCAGCAATCAGTGTCCGAATCCGAATCGGTGTCTGCAGCAACTTGAAGGCCGCCTTCTTGAACTTCAGGAAGGACATGGTGGTAGTCGTAACACGCCTTAACTTGTTCCAAAGATGTTGGGTCTTTCTCCGGCGTTGAACGTGGTGAGGTATCGCACAGCACTAGCTCGACGTCATCGGTAGCAGTGCACTGATGGGTCTGGACATTCGCGGACCCGTACTGCGTGGTGCAGCTGTGGAAAGCGAGGTTGTCTTTGAATACATCTCCTCGAACTTGAGATAGGTCGACCCAGATCTTGTTATCATCGTTGCCGTCGACAGCGTAAGCAAAGTCGATCTCATCGGCGGACTTGAGGATACCATCTGACTTGGTTGAGATCTTGATAGCGACGCTGGGGTTAACGATAGAACCATGACGCCATGGCTCTTGATATTGACCACCAGGTTTAATGGGGACATTGTCGGTATGGGAGGAGCTGAGGACTTGAGGTACAGACCAGACGTAGACGTTGTAGGGACAGTGGTTGGTGACAATAGCCCTAGCTTGAGCCAAGGCTACGAAGGTGAGGACGGGAAGGACGGATCCAAGCATGATGTTCGAGACGTGCAGCGTGAGAGTTGATCTGTGTTGGTGGCAGTAGAAAGTTCTTTTTGACTGGGTTGGAGAAGAAAGGTGAGCTTGGGGTGGGAAATGGGCTTTTGTAGACAGTCGAGAGGAAATGAAGTTGTTTTCATGACTGATGCTGGCAGCCATGAAGACGCTCGCTGCTGCCGCAGGGTGGAGCGTCTTGGGCAGGAGCATCGCAGGCGTTAAAGCAGTACCAAGGCACTACTGTATGTTTGGGTCCATTCAGACTGCCGGACTCTTTTGAAAACTTCGATGATAACGTTGAAGCGTCATCTAGGAATAACGCAGCTGTAGGAAGTAGTTTATGGACGTTGGCGGCGTGGAATTTTGTTCTTCAGGACCCGGTGTGCTTTCCCTCATAACTAGAAGTGCGGTTGCTATATTTCAGGGCGTGTTTCCTGAAGAAGCAGCGTATTTCGAGTACTATGGCTTAATGTTTAGCATGACGTACTGATATGGCTTAGAAGAGAGAGTATAATGGACAGCTTAAGTCACTCATGAAACGGTCAATTTGCTCATTAGTGACTACTGACTATCAGCACACGACGGATATACCTGCCTTGTTTCGAGGAAGATTCGAGAAGTAGCCATCCCCTTACTTTATGGTGGATGCTGTGATGCAGCTACAAGGTTGACGCGAACTGACGCGTATGAAGATGGCAGGTGCTTAGTAAGCCCCACTTCCATGAAGCACTCCGGCTAGCGTCCTGGAGACCTGAGGCGCGAATGAAACACTGCAAACCTCAGCATCAGCGAGTGTACAATAAGAAGATGATGGCCCCGTGTACTTGTCGCGCAAGTTGCGCCTTCTCACACATCTCAATTTTCGTTCCTGGGTAGCATCGTTGAGGTAGTCTCTGTAGAACGTCAATTCGCGTCCAAGCCTCGAATACGCGCCGTCGCGCCCCACCATCCACCATGATCCAACAAACCTCTTGTATCGACATGCCAGCCATGTCCTCCGCAATAAAAGAAGTACCCGTTCAACTGCCAAAGAGCTTCGACCGACCCGACGAGCCATGGCACCATTACCTCAATATCGACATGGTATGGTATGTCCTCGGATACACGCTCTTCCATCCGTTCGTATCATGGGTTGTAGTACTGTGTCTGCGAGCGCAATATACACCCTATGAGAACATTGAGATGCGCATTGCAATGGCCTGGGCCATGCTCATGACGGTTAACGGCATCTTCGGGCTCATCAGCGACCGGATCGCATGGGGATCACCGCGCGAGGTAGACCTAGAAGAAGAGGTTATCGTTGTAACGGGCGGTGTTGACGGCCTTGGTGGACTGCTTGCGGAGACATATGGAATGCGCAACGCGAACATCGCCGTCCTGGATATGAAAGAAGTCGACGAGGATGAAGCAGAGAACAAGGGAGTGGTCTACTACAAGTGCGACGTCAGCGATGCGAAGCAAGTGGAAGCTGCAGCAGCCAAGATTGTCGAAGATGTGAGTGGTAATTTTCACGTGTGATCGCACTCTACTAACGATCGCAGCTCGGCGCTCCTACTATCTTGATCAATAATGCCGGCATCGTACAGACCAAGTCAATCCTCGACTCGACCGCTGAAGATGTGGAACGGTATGTATATCCTGGAATGGCTCTTGGTCTTTTCTGACATTCTCCCCAGCACTTTCCGCGTAAACACACTGGCGCACTTTACGACCCTCCGCACTTTCGTCCCGTACATGCTGAAAGAAGGCCGCGGCACTATCGTAACCGTCTCCTCTGTCCTTGGCCATCTCGGTGCAGCCAACCTATCCGCGTACACGGCCTCCAAAGCAGCACTTCTCGCACTGCATCACTCTCTTCGCGCAGAACTTGCACAAAATCCTGACGCGAAGGATATCAAGACAATCCTAGTACAACCTGGTCAAATGGGTACAACAATGTTTGCAGGCCTCAAGACTCCAAGCAACTTCCTGGCACCGGTTGTTACGCCAGCCGACATTGGCAAAGATATTATACGGTTGATTGAAAGGGGTGAGAGCGGGGAGATCGCGCTTCCTCTATACTCAAAATACATTCAGATCCTTGGGGTATTGCCTGTAGGCGTACAGCATCTTGTGCGGAAGTGGAGCGGAATGGATAAAGCGGTGGGCAAAATGAAGGAGTCGCGGCAAGGTCCGACCGAGAAGAGGTGATCGGCCTACGTAAAGTCACTCCTTAATGCCTACAGAAGCAGACGCACTCAAATATTGTACAATATACGCTGTAACGACCATGCAACACTTGACATTATGCAGCTCGGAATATCTTGGTGTTTCGAACGTCCTACCACACCTCCTGCAGCGTCTGACTGCTACGGCCCGGTTTTGGATAGCACGATTGACTATACTAGCACACAGGGAATAGTCAATTTGGTATTCGCATGTGAACGACGGTTCGCGGGGACCACTAGCGCCGTAGGGCTGATATTAGCGAGCGCTCGCACATCTCGCCGTATTGATTTCGCGGCGACGACGACATCATCAACACAACATAAAAATGTAAGACGACGTCCAGTGCTATGTAGTGCAAAGACGAAATACATGCGACCGAGGCTAATTGACTGCCAGACTTTCTAAACCTCAATCCAACGCAATGGCCGACCAGAAAGCATCCAAGTACTACGCTGCCGAGGAGGAGGCGCAAATGAAGAAGG